CGTCATGTGAACTAAGAGCACTCGTAGCAGTTGAACTCGGTGGCTAACGTGTCGAGATCATACTCTGCACTAACACAACTCGGGCTCAAGTCTCGCTGGGAGTGTGTTGGTAATGCCCGTCTGGGCGGGTTGGCAATGCTAGTTCATTCCAGCCTGAAGGAAGCTAATGGAAACGTCAGTTCTAATCATAAGCTGGTGGGAAAATTCAACTGCTTTACATCTTACCTTACACGAACTAGAGTGAACACAACTTATATTTGCTATAACAATCGACTATATTACTTATTTGTCGTTTGTAAGTAGGGCCTCGAGACTATCAGTAAATGGGTTATATGAGCTGGAAAAATTCATCTACCACTACTTCATCACCTTGAAATAAAATAGTGTGATCACATCTAATACATCGTCTTTGGTGTGCCATCTAAACAGGAAAACGACAAATTGTCGCAGCACAAATCCACTCCGCGTACACCTTTTGCTCTTCCTCTTTCAGCCGGATTGAGTCGAACGCTTCCACAATCGTCCGCTTGAGCTTCAGCAAGTCGTCCGCGACTGGTCGCATCATGCACCCTCCAGGTTCTGGCACCAGTCCTGCAGCCGAGGGCGTGGAGGGCCATTCATGCCAGTTGGATCGTATAGAACAAGTCATTCTCCGTTTGGGCTGGTTCCACGAATGTCGTGGAGCTCTCAGCGTCTGGCTCATTTCTCCCAGCGGCCTACGCTCTCTGATGCTCGACTGGCGCGTGAATGATCATTTTTACGGTCGTGGAATGATCGAGCTGAACTCGGTGATGCATTGGGCGGAGCTGGCTCACGGAGTCTGGCAGGTTCATGTGAGTCTTGACTGGAGGCAGTGCTTCAACGATCTTTTTTTACGACAATCCGTTTAGAGGCGATTTTCAGCACAAGCCTACTGGAAACTGAACATTTCATTATTTTTAATGCTTAAGGCAGTGGTTCCCAAACATTTGCCAGTCGCGGCGACTTTTTTCAATTTAAATTTTTCCATCGCACCCTACCATAATTATGACTACTCATAAGTAAGAGATAAAAATAAATAAAACTCGTGGATCTT